CTGGGTCTCCTACTCATCACCTGAAACTTGAATGTGTGGCAGATACAAAAAGGTATTTGAGCACTTGAGAATAGAAAAATATGTGATTTCAGTTGCCAGCTCAACCTCTTCTTGTTAAACCTTGAAAACTTGACATTTGAAAGAGAAAGACTGTGTAACAATTCTATTTTGTAAAATACTTTTTCAATTTAGGAACATAGGATTTTATAAGTTTCCAAATATCTTTTCCAATCAAGCTTTAACACAGAAAGTCAAACACACACACAACAGGGGTTCCTTGGAAGGAACGGTGACAAGGGATTACCAATTTTTTATGTGCTCTTTGAGGAAATATTTAAACAGGAAAAAAAAAAAACCCAAACGATGGCCTTTCTGAGTTAAAACAGTTCCAATGGCTTCAACAGATCACTGCACAAGCGTGAGCAGCTGCTTATTGAGAGTCAGCCTCCTGGAAGGACCTCCAATGCCCTCGTGTTCATGGAAAAGTCTGAGCTATTCATCAGCAATGGTTTTACAAAAGCTGGGCAAACAGAAAAAGCTCAGGACCAGGGGCACATGACCCCCACGTGAGATCTGCACCCAGGGTTTCCCCACATTGTTCAGGGGCCTCTGGGACTCCACTCCACCCACCAACACCCCCTATAGCTCTTTGGCTTCCTGCCCTTGGACTGCCAAGTGGCAGTGTGTCCTGTGAACTTCTGGACACCTTCAGTGAATTTTAAATAGCTTGATCTGTTGACACTGGTACAGGTCCCCAGTCCTTTATGTGAAAATCTGGGTGGCCAATGTGTTCAAAATGTTTGGATTTTAGAAAGGAAACATCATATATTAACTCTAACACCCCTGGTGATATCTGAGTCAATATCTCTTACTATTTCTGCATTAAAATATACGGTAAACATCATTGAGCAGAATAAACTGAGGTGATAAAAATCTTTCACATCAATTTAGGTCAGTGTTTGCTGCCAAATTAGTTTTAAAACTCAACTTGCTAAAAAGGATTCAGTATTTGGAGGCTTTTTGGGGGGGTTTTAGAATTTCAGATAAGGAATTATGGACTTATGTTACGAACTGGTGGGTTATGTTTTTATTCTGTTTGTAATTTTTCTGTTCAGTGAAAAGTCAAACTCTTGGAATCATAGGCTAGAACAGCGGACTGAGTTGTAGCGATGGAGTGTTTTCCGCTTCATTTTACCAACAGGAAAACTGTCGCACAAAGAATACAAGTCATTTGGTCAAGTTAGAGATGGGTCTGGACTAGTAGATTCCAGGTTTTTAACATCAGACAGATGTGGGCTGGATCAGCCCCACCAAAACCTGTCACCTTAGCAAATTTAGGCTCAGACCTATACCCAGGGATGCCCTCTGATTAGAAATCCCCCTCGCTCATGGGCTATTGGGGGAATTAAAGCTACAAAAACAAGTACAATATGAGCACTGTGAGTTGCTCATGGTACACACTCAATAAAAGGCAACCATTCCTAGACTGAATGTTATGATTGCCATTGACCTAATTGAATTACATGCAGTAAGTGTTTCCTGAATTCCTGCCTGCAAGGCACTGGACTGGATCACGGGGGTGAACAAGGCAGAATTACCTCCCATGATACCATAAGCAATTGGAGAGACTGTCTTACATCTATGGTGTGAGGACACAGCACACTTGACAGACAGACGCAACACATGCTTGTTGAATTGAATTCAACTCATATGTTCCGTCTATCAGGGAATACAATAACACTGCGGGGGAAGAATGTGAGAAATACCCTAAGAGTTCTACAAGATGCAATGAAAATAGAAAACAAGATCTCTTCTGTCTTTAGAGGAAGATTTTTTTAGAAGAGGAAACACTTGTGCTAGGTTTTAACAGGAGGGTAGACATTCAGGGGATATAGTTTGGGAGTTCAGGAAAGGCCGTTCCCAGCAAAAAGAGAAGAGTGAGAACATTCCGACAGAGGTGGAAACTCACATAGTGTGTTGAATGGGTGGTGGGCTGTGTGCTCAGGGAATTGCGTGGGTCATACGCATGGTGGGATGTCAGCTTGAAGGAGTTAGAGTGAGTTACACCTTCACGTAATATTCTAGTATATAAAAGGAGCATAGACTGTACTCTGAGGCTTGGGGTGACTCAACGTTTTTTTCAGATTGCTTTGTTTTTAGTAGCAATTACATAAATGATGTAAGCCAGATGACTTGGGCCAAGCTTCAGGAAAATTACTATGGTAGCATTTTGTATACAGAATTAAAAGACTAAGAAAGAGAACAAAAGTACAGTGCACCCTCAGTTCTCAAACTTAATTCATTCCGGAAGGCTGCTTGAGAAGCGATTTGTTGGAAAAAACAAATCAATTTTTCCCATTAGAAATGATGTGGACTGAATTGATCTGTTCCAGACCCCCCCAAATGATGCCCTGTTTTACCCTTTCTTATATACAGTGCATGTCCGATGTACTGTTTAGTCTGTGAATAAACACTTTAAAAAGAAAAAGGACATGAAATGTAAATGAAAATTTAACAGAACAAAAATAAAACGTACAATTAAAAATGAAAGTTGATGTACACACTAAAACGAACCTTTAATGCTGAGCGCTATGGATGACCGAGTATGGAGGGGGGGATAGAAGGATGGAGAGGTGCTATCGCTTGGCAGGGGAGCCCCTTCCTTTAAAATGTCAGGTAGCTTTGTTCTCCAGGGCTTCCCCTTGTCTTTCTCTCTGCCCCATGAGAACTTGCTTCAGGCTCACTGGGCCTCTGTCTCACTAGAAACCTATCCAGTGATGTTTGTTTTTTGCCTGCGTTTTCACACTCGCCTGGAGTGAAACACTGCATTGTCACTGAACAAGTTTATTGCACGGTTTGCTACTTCTGTGTCAGGGTGATATTTCTCAATAAAACTTAGCATTTCTCCCCATTTCCCAAGCATTTCCTTGATCGGTGAAGTAGGAATACCCTCCCTTCCCTCTTTTTTATCTCTTCAATTGCAAATTGAACAAATTAAGTTTGAGAACTGAGATTCCACTGCATCAGTAGGAAAGGGTTGTCAGCTCAAGAGCTGGAATTTTGTTCAACAACCCAGACTTTTTTTTTCCATGCGCAATTCAAGAACTGAATTGTTCGAGATGGGAGACATTTGAGATCCAAGGTTTGACTGCAAGTAGACTTATCAAGGGTATATCGAAAAGTCCTTGATGAGAAGGGTAAACACCTAAACTAGGGCAGGGGCAGAGAAGATGGCTAGGCGTGGAGAAGTTAAAGAGACATAAGCAGAATGGATCATACTTGGCAACCAAATAGATGGAGAAAGCAAAGAAAAGATTCTCTTAGTTTCCAGTCCTTGGGGGTATGGTAGTACGAGAGGGGAGAGAGGGTGCTGATGATGGGCCAGGACGGTAGACAAATATGAGTTCATTTTAAAACTGAACAGCACATTAACTTCTGTTCACGATCAATAAAACTGGCCAATGATGTCAAAAAAGTAGACATTCGACCAGCAGCAGTTAGTAATGGGGCTAAGGTCTTCAGAATCAAGCAATGGACCTGCTCATCTTGTGTTGTTCCCATCAGGTGCAGGCCAAGGATGAATCTGGGAGTCATGGTTCCACATCGCAAGGCAGAGATCCCACCTGATGTTCAATGAGCATTGCCAGTGCATGTGTCTATCTAGGTCTGGTCATCTTACATTGTTCTTAATATGTAGGAAGTCAGGTCACTTACTCAGAAGGCCTTAGTATTCATGAAGGCTCGCTGGGCTGGGTATGTGCTAAGGCAAGCAGGTGCCTTTCCCGGGGTTCCTGCAAGGGCCCGTCTCGAACTTCTGAGCCCCTGAGAGTGAATGAGGGACTCAGGCACCTCCCTTGTCTCAACTAGTCCCACCCCTGGGAATAGCGTAAGATCTTTGCCAAGACAAAATAGCCATAAAGGTACTTTATTAAGAAGCAATTATGTTGTAGCACAGGGGTCACAAAACTTCCCTGTAAAGAACCAGCTCATAAATATTTTAGGTTCTTTAGCCTATAGGTATCAGCCCCAGCTAGTCAATTTTGTCACTGTAGTGGGAAAACAGCCACAGACAACATGCAATGACCGGGCAGGGTTCTCTTGCCACATGACTTTGCCGACAAGAATAGGTAGCAGGCCAAACTTGGTCTGCCTCAGCTCATCACTGGCCAGCCTCATTGTGTGGAAGAGGCAGCCAGACCTTAGATTTAATTCCGGACCCGCCCTTTACAAAATATGTGGATTTGGACACACACCTCTGTAAAATGTGGTAATTCTACATTTTAGAAAGTGTATGTGAAATGCCTCATCAATAACAATCTTTCAAACTGGGTGTCATCTTTGGAATCACAAGGCATAATACAAATAATGGCTAACACTTATTGAATAATTTTATGATATACCAGCAAATGTAAAGACCAAAAAGATTATTTTATTTAATCCTCCAACAACTCTCTAAAATAGGGACTGTTATAGTATCCCTTTGTACGTGTAGGGAAACTGAGGCACCGAGAGATGCTTACCTAGACAAGAAGTGGTGCAGCCGTCACTGAACCCCAAGTCAGTGGACTCCAGATTCCCTGGTGCTAGTCACTTAGCACCATTAATTCAGCTCCTATTGAGATGCTTGGACTCACCTCCAGTTCTCCGGGGCTTTTCACATCTCATCCCAGGGTAACACAACTGAGCATAATTCACACACAACTTTTGAAAATTCACCTTCGGGGTAACACTCAAACAATACCATACATAAAACATTTATTCCAACCCTCTTCCTACCACTGTATTTCCTCCCTCCCAACAGAGATCTGCAGTTAAGGGAAAAAAGAGTATCACCGAGAGAGCTAATGCAAGCCCATTTCAAACAGTGTATCCCAGAATCACTCCAAAACACAGGCACTTTCAAAGCTACCCTGCAGAATAGCATACTGGATTAATTATGCCAGGCTGCTGCAATAACCTTGAATTAAAGCTGCAACCTTCTATTTTTAAGAAACACTTGCCTTTCTGGTTGATGAAACCTGTCGTCCCATCAGGTAACAGACGTGACCAGGAAAGAGAGAAGCGGTAATGAGTCAGTCCAAGCTGTTTGATACATTTCAAATCTTCCTCCCACAGAGTGTAGCTGCCACAAGCCACATCGCCAGTCTGGTTCTTGAAAACTCTCTCTCCTCCCTGATGGCTGAATGTGTCCCAGGCACTGGGGCCTTTCCCATCTGCATCCCAGCCTCCTGAGAAAACAAGGAAAACCAAGCAGTTACACTCTTGACATCGAGAGGCCCATGTGGAATGTAAATACTTGTCGCCCAAAGAAAATACCTCATTAGCTCAATGTACCATATTTATAACTTTAAAATATGCCTTTAAAATAACATGCGTGAATGGGTTATGTGTTTCGCTGCCCTTGATCCCTGAAGCTGACTGGTGGCAAATGAAAAATTATTGCACGGTGCTGCCGCAGAGCAGGATTTCATGGTTCATTATCTGAAGATCTCTCTCTCTCGGCTGGTCAACAGAGGCGCACTCTAGCTTATAGTGTCTGAGTAGAAAACATCGCCTTGTGGACATTTCTCCTGGCCGTGACTGACATGCCTTGTCCTCCAGGTGCATGGCTGAGTCCCAAGCTCTGATCGTTGGCCTTGTACACTTGAAGTCTATTCTCCTGTTATGTAACAATAGAGCCTGTGATGACCAGGTTCTTTACTGGTGGGTAAGGTGTAGGTTCCCACCATTGCTGACATAGTATTGGTGCCCTACATTCAGTCATTCACACAAGGTGATGTGTCAGGCACTATGCTGAGCAGAGGGGACACCAGTGGTGGGCAGAGGGGGATGGGGACTCTGATGTGCTTCCTGTCTTTAGGGAATTTAGCTATGGGCAATGGTGGAAACAACCAACCCAAAGGCCTTTGCAAGATAACCAGGAAGGGGTGTGTATCCAGATGTGAGCTCCAGTCCAAAGTCTCTTACAGAAGTGACTTCTAGAATGAAATGTAAAGGCCAAGTTGAATCATCAAGGTGAATTGCTTTGAGGTGGGGATTGGGAGAACAGAAAGAAAATAGTTAGGTTTATGATTAAGCTCAGAAGTAAAAGAATGTTGCACATTAGGGGAACAAAAAGTAAAAATTATATTAATTTGGAATATCTGTTCATATAGAAATTTTGTTTAAAGAGGTAGCTATAAACCATTTTGAGGTATAAAGGATTAATTTTTAAATTTTCACGACCCCCTAATTTTACTACAAGGTGCATACCCGGCACACACACCCACATACGTTCACAAAGAGATGACATGAGGCAGGAAAGCCTGTACCAGCAAAACCCTGGAAACAATGTATATCCTAGTCAAAGCAGGACAGGTTGTAATTTGAGGTGTACCAATGGGAGGAAACACTCGTCTGCAGTGAAAATGAACAAATCAGAGGACAGATGACCCTCTGCTATGGTCTGTAGGTTAGCACCCCCTAAACTTTGGGTGTTGAAGTCCTAATGCCCGGTGCAATAGGATTAGGAGGTAGGTCTCCGGGAGGCATTAGGTCCAGAGAGTATGACCCTCACAGACAGCGTGACAGCTTTTCCAGAAGAGGCCCCACTGCGCTCCCTGAGCCTGTCCGTGAACCAAGGCTCTCCCCCAGCCATGCTGGCTCTCTGATCTGGAACTTCCAACCCGTAGAGCTGTGAGCAATAAATGTTGTTTCTAAGCCACCCAGGCTGTGGTCTTTCAGCACAGCAGCCCAAATGGACTAAGATACCTTCAAAATTATAACGTTAAAGAACAACAACAACAACAAATCAAGACTCGGAAGAATATACCCAGAGTGAGTAAGTGAAGAAGACAAGTTTTTAGGGCGATGAAACTATTCCTTATGGTACTGTCGGGAGGGATACATGCTCTAATACATTTGTCAAAACCATAAATGTAAAGTTAGGTGAATAACGTATCAATATCCCTGCATCAGTCACAACACACATCACTCACCCATGGGAAATGGTAACAGCGGGCTAACGGGGAAGGGCCTGTCTGGTAACTCCGTGCTTTCTGCTCAGTGTTTCTACAAACCTCAAATTGCTATAAGATAATAGACTTCAGTCTGTAATCAAAAAGAAAATAAATATACTATACATTGATTATGTTTTCTATATTTAAAAATATGTAAAACAGCCCACAGAGTTTTGAACCTATACATGTGTGGTAAACGTATAGCAACATGCCTGGGAATTACAAAATTAGGCTACTAATGACATTTTATTTCCAGAGCCCACACGCTTCACCATTATGCCAGATGGGAAAAACTAAGTAGGTCAAAAAGAGAACCAGAAAATCAGGAAAAAAAGAAACACAGACATGGCAAAAAAAATACAGGCATAAACTGAGATAGCAGAACAAGGCATAAGTCACCACTTACAACAATAGAAGTCACTGGACTGAAGTCCCCAGATAAAAGAGAAACATGGTCAGACTAGATTTTTTTTAAATTCAGTGACATGCTTTTTACCAATTCACCTAACGCATGAGAATATAGACAACTAAAAGTCAAAATATGGATAAAAGATATCCCTGCCCCTCCCCCCACCAAAGAAAGTGAAGGACTTCAAGGAGGACAGCAGAATGAAGATAATGTGGTCACCGCAGAATGACAGCACTGTTTTCAATGTGTGTGCACCTAGAATCTGGTTTCAAAACATGTGACACAACTGAAAAGGGACATCGACAAACCCACCTTATAATGGGAGATTTTCATTAATGGGAGTTTTACCAAACATTTAAAAAACAGAACAAAAAAAAAACTTGATTATTCCATAAATTATTCCAGAAAATGAAAAAGGGAGAATTCCTTGACTCACTTTATGTAGCTAGAATAACCTTGATACAAAAAGACCTCTCTCGGTAACTGAGAAAAGAGAGAGTAAGGATGGCAGATATTAACAAGCTCGATCTAATTGATATAAATGACACTGCACGATAGTGAACACAGCAGCTGAACACGCTCCATTCTTTTCAAGCAGACAAAACCATTATGAAAGTTGAGTACAAACTGATCTATAAATAAAGACTCCGTAAGTTTCAAAAGGTTGGAGAAATGCATGTGACAAACTAATAAATTAGATTAGAATTTAATATTTAAAGAGCATTAAAAACCCTGAAGCTCAGATGTCTGAAAAGGTACACTCGAATAACTTAAGGGTTAAAGAAGGCATAAGAGTGGCCACCAGAAAAATATTAAAAATTAACAAAAATGAAATATTAAAACCTTGTTGCATCTAGTTTAAGATCCTTTCAGAGAAAGCTTTAACGTGTTTATGAGAACAGAAGCAAGCCTCAGAGTCGGTGAGCCAAGTATGTCACTAAACGTTGAAAAAAGAAAGAAAAAGGAGGAAGAAGAAAAGGAGGCCTGGCGAAGAGGGAAGAGGGGACAGGAGTGACACAGACGGGACAGAAAAGTACCAGGGATCAGGGATAACAAAGGGAACACGCAGGAGAGAGGGTTGTCAGAAGCAAATGATAGTTTTTAGAAAGGTCCAACAAAATAGGAAAAAATGCTGCAAAAATAAAATTTTTAAATAAGAGGAAAAAAAATCAAAGTATTAGTAATACAAAGGGAAACAGCAGAGAAACCGTGGCAAATATACTGATAAAAGAGTATATTGTTTTTAAAACGTTATATAAACAAATGTGAAAAGTTACATGGAAATCACAGATTCTAGGAAATTAAAACATGAAAATAGACTCAAGAAAAAGTAAAAAAAAAAAAAAAAAAAAACTTGATTTTTTAAACTATTTAACCGGCAGTTAAAATGTTCCATAAAAAAAAATCCCATGCCCATTGGTTCTAAACTGGTTCTATTAAACATGTTTAATAGAACTCTTACAACTAGTCCAAAAAGGAAATAGAAACATTTCTCAACTCATTTTACGCAGCTAGAATGCCCTTGATTCCAAAACCAAGAAAAGAGCCCTCCCCCCACCTCAAAAAGCAAGTCTCACCCATAAACATAGGTGCGAAAGTAAGCAGAGACACGGAAGATTTTCTACAAATAAAAGATCTAAATTAAACTTCAAGAGATAACAACTACAATACCTGAGACAAAAGATGTACTAGGTGGACGTAACAGTAGAATAAACATTGCAGAAGGAAAGAATAGTGCACTTGAAAGCTCAGCAGTAGAAACTCTTAAAAATGAAACAAAAGGACTCAATATATATAAATCGAGGATCAGTGACCCATGAGGTACCTTCAGTCGGCTTAATAAACATGTAATCAGACTCTCCCAAGGAGAAGAAGAGAAGGACATGGGAAAATATTTGTAGAAATAATGGCTGAAATTGTTTTTAACGTGATAAATACTATAAACCCATAAATTCAAAATCATTGAGCCCCTAGCACAAAACAAAGAAAAATATGCCGAAGCACATAATGAAGGTCAAATTGCTCAAAACCAGTGAGGAAGAGAAAAATCTTACAAGCCGCCAGAGGAAAAAGATGTAGGGGAACAAAGATAAAAAAATACAGGAGATTCATTGTCAAAAAATAATGCAAGCTAGGAAACAGTGGTGTAACATCTTTAACATAATAAAAGGAAAAGAGTCTGCCCAACTAGAATTTTAAATCCAGGGAAAGTATGTTTCAAATATAAAGGCTAAAGACGTTTTCAGACATACGAAAGCTCAAAGAATTCATCACCTGCGAGCCCACTCCATAATAAATTTCTGAAAAGTCCTTCAGGCAGAGACACCAGATGGAAGTATGAATCTACACAGAGGGAAGAAGAGCACCAGAAATGGTAACTACATGAGTACATATGTAAGACTTTGTATAGACTTTTATTCTATCAAAATAAAGCCTTCAGATAACAATCGATAATTTACTGTTTGAAGAAAACGAATAATAATGTAGCACAGTGCTGATAACATGTGCACATAGGAAATGATGGCGGCAGCAGCAAAAGGCCAGGAGGGGAGAAATGCAAGGTTGCTGTTATAAGTCTTCGATTATATCACAGGACAGTAATACAGGGTTTAAAAATAGTCTTGGATTACACGCAAAGTGGTACAATATCGTTTGAGCACTGACTTTAACAAGCTAAAGATGTATACTACAAATCCTACGGGAAACACTAAAGAATATTATAGCTACCAAGCCTGAAAAATATACAATGGAATCATAAAAATAATCTAACAGAGAAAAAGAGGAAAAAGAGAAGGAAGATGAATCAAGCAGAAAACGAATA